AGTCTATTAGCATGTTTTGCTAAGTAAGTACAAGTGGGTTAAAAAATGTGTCGAGTTAAGAGTACCTGTATCGTTAAGTTGGTATGATCCTATTAGGTGGGGCCCAGCTGTCCCTTTGGAAAAAGTATAATAAGGAGATGAGCTCTGACAGAGTAATGATGAAGGATTAAGTTACATGGAGAGAATATCAAGGAAAATGACTCTATTAAACGGGAGAGAGGCTGAAGGAAGAGAGATGCTCTAAAAAAAACTTGCACTCCAGGAAAATAAAACTATTTTTTGAAAGAAATTAACTTGCCCGTCGTAATGCTAATTCCGGCACCGTCGACTAGAATTTTTCTTCTGTTTCAGATAGTATCTTAAGGATCCTTTAAGAACTTGTTTAGATTGAAGAAGTATTCCAAAATCACTCGATGAGCCATTAGAAAACAAATTTGAAGCATCTCCAGCATGATTTTCCATCGACATAGAGCTGATAAAAAAAAAAATGACAATAAAATGATGTAGAGAAAAGAGAGTGAGGAAATTATGTGCCATGATTGCCATATAAAGAAAGAACAAATTTCCAACTTTAACGGATTTACAAGCTTGAGATTCCCTGTGTTTGGGTGAAGACTCCAATTTTTAACAATACTTTTCTCACGGAGTTCACACTTTACTTTTTTTTTTTTTGTCGGGTAGAAAAAATTCACAGGCTTGCCTTCATTTGTTGCTTTTTAGTAAATGGGCTCATGGGAATGCCGTGCACCTGTTGGTTCATGCTAAATAAAAAATAAATAAATTGAAAAGACAAAATTGTCCTCGTGAATTCATTTTTTTAGTTGGCCGAAGCAATTAAAAAGATATTCTTGAAATTTTCATTTTTGTTTGATTACTGACTTACCCATAAAAGATAGTACAATTTATTTTTGTTTTCAAAATGTTTCATACCAATAAGAAATTGTCATATCCACAACTTTAATATACCATTTCGTAACCCTCTCTAGTTTATTACCAAATAAGGAGTTTGAAATTTATTTTTTCAACTCAAGTTATTTCATAAGGTCGTGTTTTTAAAATATGATTTTAACGTTGAAAATACAACTTTAGATTTTTAGAAATAATTTTAAAATTGATGAGGTTTTGTAAATTCAATTGTTAATCAATTTGTACTTGGTGAAAAACTCAACATAATCCATCTTAACCGGGGGATTATGGAAAAATACATAAAGGCGTGAAATATCATCTCCTTAATTTTCAATAATCATATAAATTAACAAACAAAAATAAAAATGTTATATGTCATTAGTTCTAAATTATCACTTTTTTATTATTTTATACAATTCTAAGTTGTTGAAGCTGATGTCAATGATGAGCAAACTAATATACCTCGATCGAATCAAAGTGCTGTGCTAACCTTGAACCTGCCATTAGTTTTAACCTCCGTTTGGGAAGTGGGTTGGTTTTTTGGTTTTTTGGTTTTTTGGCTATTTTAGCTTGGGCTATTTTAGCCTGGTTTGAGAAGGGCTTTTTGGCTTTTTGGGTTTTTTGGTTTTTTTGTGAGAGAGGATTGTAATGATTATGGGTTGGATTTGATGTTTTGTTTTTTGTGACTAAAATAGCCTATTTTGTTTTTTTTGACTATTTTAACCAAAAAAGCCTGGCTTTTTATTTGCCAAACGGATATCATTACTTAGCCATTCTTGACCTTGATCAAGATGGGTTTACCTAATATATCAAGATTGAATCAAAGAGCTAAGTCAATCTTTAAGTTGAGGACGTACGTTCTTATTAGATATAGTAATTGCCAGTTGTATTGACGTAGCTTGTGTGTCACTAGCCACGTGATGCCTTCGTACTATTGGGATAACGATATTTGACACGTCAAAGAACACATGGAGGATTGAGAGAAAAACAATCACAAAAATATTTGGAAAGAATCATAAGGGATTTTATAAAATAAAAAGAGAGAGAACTTCAGGGACAAATAAGAGAATTACATTTATTCGGTAACACATCAACAGATGAGAGCAGATATTGATTTGCTCTATCATTTACTAAGATATTCCTGATTTTTTTTTTTTTAAATTAAAGGAGTACTATATTGTAAATGGTGATAAAACACTAGAAATACATCATGCACTAAGGGAGGACATTCTCTCCTCTAAAAATCTTTCTAAGCCTCCGTTTGGCAAGAGTTAAACGAGAATTTTTTAGTTATTTTAGCAACAAAAGACAAAATAGACTATTTTAGCCACAAAAAACAAAATATCACATCCAACCCATAATCATTACATTCTTCTCTCACAAAAAAGCCAAAAAAGCCAAAAAGTCCTTCCTAAACCAAACTTTTTAACCCAGGCTAAAATAGCCAAAAAGCCAACCCACTTCCCAAACAGAAGCTAAGTTCATTTATTTATGTAAAACTAAATTATAAAATCAAATACAATCTTAAATTTCACACTTCAAGAATTTAATTATGTAATCATCGAATATTTATTTCCTTTCACTTACAAATGCCAATAAATAATGATAACAAAATTTTAAGACAATCTTCAAAAATTCAAAACCTTGTAAAGGTAGTGTAAAAAGCTCACGGGAAATTGGATAAATTATATTTTGCGTTATTACACTTTGCACCAAACTTCACTTTGGTCCCTACATATAAAATCATGACAGTCAATCCCCTACATTTCTTGTTAAATTCCACTTTGGTCCTTGCACATGAAATCGTGACAGTTAACTCCCTGCACTTATGAAATCGTGACAATCAACTCCTTGAGATTTGACCAGAAGTGTAAGGACATTGACTATTACGATTTCATGTATTGGGACTAAAGTGAGATTTGGTACAAAGTGTAAAGGTGTAAAGTGTAATTTATCCTGGAAAATTCTAATATACACTTTTTTAAAAAGAGTGTACCATATATATTTTTAATTGTGTTATTTTTTTCTTTAGTTATGACTAATTTTATTATTTAATTATGATATTATTTTAGTTATGATTCATGAGTTATTTAAGTTATGTCTCATATTATGTTTAGTTATGATATTTTTTTTATTATAATTTAAAAAATTTAAATTATATTATTTTTTAATTATAAAATGCATATAACACTTTTTAGAAGGTGTGTACAGTGCACCATAATATTTCATCAATAATGATATATCCCTCTAAATCAAAGAGCTCTGATGAGCTCTGACGACATGGAAAGTCAAAAAAAAAATAAAAACACAAAATACAAATATCACTATAACAGTAAGACCCACACTCCATTAGAACTATTCAGTGTGTTTGGTTTGAATTTTTTGAATTAAGTTTTTTGAAAATTGAATTTTTTGATTTTCGTATTTTTTTGTTTTTAGTGAATATTTTAAAAATTTTAAACATTTTTTTTACTTTTTTAGATGTACCTTACTTAGACGTATCTAAAAAGTAAAAAAATTGTGAAAAAATATTTTTACAAATTAATAAATGCATAAAAATATAAAAAATGTACTGAATTCTTGTATTTTTTTTTTTATTTTTGGTATTTAATGAATTTTTAAAAGTTTTTTTTTAATTTTTTTTACTTTTTAGGTATATTTATGTTAGGTATGTCTAAAAATTAAAAAAATTGCTCAAAATATTAAAAAAATTCAGTAAAAGTAAAAAAATACAGAAAATAAGAAAATAGAATTTTTTAAAAAATATTTTTAAAAAGTGATAACTAAACATAGTGATTAGAACTCTTTTATTAGAGGTCCAAAACATTTTTGATATTTCACCAAACTCAAAAGGAGCAATGTATGGGCAATGTGGGTCAGATGCCGGGTAATCGGGAATCTGCCACAACCAAGTGGGTTTGGGCCGTCATATGCCGACAGACAACAAGAGGGTCGTGTGAGTGAGGTCTGCACTGCACGTGAACTCCATAACTCTCTCTCTAACTCTCAATTCTTTACTCTCTATTTCGTTAACCAAATTTGAGTAATAAAAAGCTTGATGAACATTTCAATTTGGTAAAGAATTTAGGTTGCCTTTGGTAGAATTTTGTAATTATAATTTAAGAATATGGGTTATATTTTGAGTTTGTGAGATTTAGAATTATGATTTGAGTGTAGAAAATGTATTTGGTAAAGAGTTTTGAAAATAGTTTTGAAAAGAGTTTTCATTTGAGTGGGAAATTATTGATGTGAGATTTGATATTTGATATAAAAATTTACAATTCATAACTAAACATACAACTCAAAATTATTTTAAAGCACATAAAAAATTTTAAAAATTTTAAAAAATATTTTTTTCGATTATATAAAAATTAATATATAAATTGTAAAAAAAAAAAAAAAAATCACTATTCCGGTCAACCAGCCGAATGACCGGTTAGGCAAAATTTTCAAAAAAAAAAAATTCTGAAAAGCGCGGTTGAGACATAGCTCTCTGCAGAGTTTTGGAACGTGATTCTAAAACTCCAACCAAACACCATACTTGAATCAAGGTGCAGAATCATGATTTGATAACACAACCAAACACAACCTTAATTTTTTATTGAAAAATTTGCCCTTTTTTGTTTTGATGAAATTATTGAAACATATTTTTAACTCTGTTTTTATAAAATAAAATAAAATAAAATTGATGAACAATACTCACATGATGATGATACATATAGTAATATAGGGTCCGTTTGGGAAAGGTTTTTCCGGATTTTTTTGGCTATTTTAGTTATAAAAGACAAAATAGGCTATTTTAATTACAAAAAACAAAATATTACATTAAATCCATAATCATTACACTCTTCTCTCATAAAAAAAGTCAAAAAAATTAAAAAATCAAAAAGTCCTTTTCAAACCAAGCTTTTTAACCTAGACTAAAATAATTAAAAAAGTCAAAAAATTAACCAACTTCTCAAACGGAGGCATAATATAATACAAATGTATATAAACCTATAGGAATAGCTTTCATGATAAGAACTGATTACAGGCGGACCCACTTCTCAAAAACTATTCAAATCAATACTTGACCCACTTCTCAAAAACTATTCAAATCAATACTTTTGTCGATCAACTGTCTCCTTTGTCAATCTATGTATAGAAACTAACTAAACCCTTATGACTTCTACCCAGTCCTTTCTCTTTCTATTATTAGAAATTATTATACATATATATAGGGTGGTCTTGGAGAATGTTCTTTAATTTTAGTGGATTACACTTCTAAGAGCAGTGGGCAGGCAGTGGTGGGTGTGGGTGTGGGTGTGGGTGTGGTCCCTAGGCTGTGATCAAGATTTTGGGGGTAATGGAATTGAGCTTTTCCATGGTGGAAGAGATGGGTTTTTGTGACCCAACTTTTCTTCTTATTTTCGAGTTCTTCAAGCAATTCCTAACACTTGCACAAGATTTGATCTGATTGTCACTCTCTGTTTTTGCCCTCTGTGAACTGAAACCAAGGTTAGATTTTCACTTTCTCAACTCTATGCTCAGTGATAATCTTGTTCTTGTATAGTATTAGCCTTTGGATTTTGTGGGTTGTGTTTCTTTTTTTCTGGGTTGATTCTAGTTTTGAGTTTTGATCTCATAGTCACTCTGTTTTGGCCTCTGTGAGCTGAAAACAAGGTTAGATTTTCACTTTCTCATGTCTTTGTTCAGTGATAATATTGTTCTTGTCTAGTGTTAGCCTCTAGATTTTGAGGGTTGTGTTTCTTTTTTACTGGGTTAATTCTAGTTTTGAGTTTTATCTCATAGTCACTCTCTTTGGGCCTCTGTAAGCTGAAAACAAGGTTAGAGTTTCACTTTCTCACGTCTATGCTCATTGAGAATATTGTTTATTTGTAATATTAGCCTTCAGATTTTGTGGGTTCTGTTTCTTTTTTGGCGTTAATTCAAGTTTTGGGTTTGATTTTGTATGAACATATGTGAAATAGTTGTATTTTAGGATCTAATTATCTGAAAAATTTATTCATTTAAGGTCGTGTCTGTGTGTGTACTTTCTGATGATCTGAGCAAGTATTGATCCATATATTAGTGTATAAAGTTTGCTAATTTGAAATCAAGTAAGTTTGAATCAGAGCAACTAGAGCTTTGCTTATATAATTCTTGCTTGAAGAGCATAACTTTGGTCTCTAATACAGTCAAAGAGGAAGAAGATGAATCACATTTTTATTGGGTTGATCATCTGAGTTTTCTGGTCTTGATAGAGCCTGTATGGAAATGTGATGTTTTAAGCAACATATGAAGCATATTCACATAAAATTCCAGTTTTGTTAGAGCATCTACAATCTTTCACTAATTCTTTTATCAAATTTTCAAATTCAAATTTGATGAATAAAGAGCTAAAAATGAGCTCCAATCATTTCATTAAACTTGTATTGAACCTAGTGAGACAAAATTTTCACCAAACCAAGGTTGGACCAAATCCTTTACCAAATTTCCAACAGTGATATTGTTACCCAAATTTGATGAAATTTTAAAAGGAGTAAGGATTGGAGATGATTTTCTTTCATAAAATGGTTAAAACAGGTTTGTAGGGTAAGTTTAGAATTTTTCAAAACAGATTTGATGAAAAAAATGAGTAAGGATTGGATTGTTCTTTACTAGATCAAGCTTTTTAACTAAATTTTCACTCAAATTTGATAAATTAAAAAAAAAAAAGTTAGAAAAAGAAGAAGTAAGGATTGGAGATGCTCTTATGAAGATCATGATGATGATGATGATAAAGATAGCCAGCAAAATTGTTATTCTAGATTTTTGCAGAATAAATTTGAAAAGTCTATTTATTGGTTCTCTGTTATAATTTTCTGTTCTGCCAATCATTGTGATTTGTTGTGTAGTACTGCCTTATTAACATATGAGGCTCTTTATATTTTTCAGTTTGGGTGAATATGTCTTCTTCAAGACCTAGCCAGTCTTCAGGCAGTTCAGGGCGATCAAAACACAGCGCTAGAATTATAGCTCAGACTACCGTAGATGCAAAGATTCACGCAGATTTTGAGGAGTCGGGTAGTTCTTTTGACTACTCAACCTCAGTACGTTTCACCAGCGCTGTTGGTGAAGATCAACAACCTAGGTCTGACAAAGTAACAACCGCTTACCTCCATCACATCCAAAAAGGCAAGCTGATCCAACCATTTGGGTGCTTGTTAGCCCTTGATGAGAAAACTTTCAAAGTCATTGCCTACAGTGAGAATGCTCCTGAAATGCTGACAATGGTTAGCCACGCGGTTCCAAGTGTTGGAGACCACCCAGCTCTTGGCATTGGAACTGATGTGAGAACCATCTTCACTAACCCTAGTGCAGCTGCATTGCAAAAGGCGCTGGGTTTTGGAGAAGTTTCACTTCTGAATCCCATTTTAGTCCACTGCAAAACTTCTGGGAAGCCTTTTTATGCGATTGTCCATAGGGTAACAGGTAGTTTGATTATTGACTTTGAACCAGTGAAGCCGTATGAGGTCCCGATGACTGCTGCTGGGGCCCTCCAGTCCTACAAGCTCGCGGCTAAAGCAATTACACAGTTGCAGTCTTTGCCAAGTGGCAGCATGGAAAGGCTATGTGATACTATGGTTCAAGAGGTTTTTGAACTCACTGGTTATGACAGAGTGATGGCTTATAAATTTCATGATGATGATCATGGGGAGGTTGTGTCTGAGAAAACAAAGCTGGGGCTTGAGCCTTATCTGGGATTACATTATCCAGCAACAGATATCCCTCAAGCTTCTCGCTTTTTGTTCATGAAGAATAAGGTCCGTATGATCTGCGATTGTCGCGCGAGACATGTAAAGGTGCTTCAAGATGAGAAGCTTCCCTTTGAACTAACCTTGTGCGGTTCAACCCTCAGAGCGCCACACAGTTGCCATTTACAGTATATGGAGAACATGAACTCCATTGCTTCTATGGTGATGGCAGTTGTGGTCAATGAAGGAGAGGAAGAGGGAGAGGGCTCTGATCAAGCTCAGCCACAAAAGAGAAAGAGGCTTTGGGGTTTAGTGGTGTGTCATAATACAACTCCAAGGTTCGTTCCCTTCCCTCTTCGATATGCTTGCGAATTTCTTGCTCAAGTGTTTGCTATTCATGTCAACAAGGAGTTAGAATTGGAAAATCAGATTCTTGAGAAGAATATCCTGCGTACTCAGACACTATTGTGTGATATGCTGATGCGCGATGCACCCTTAGGTATTGTTTCGCAGAGCCCAAATGTAATGGACCTTGTGAAATGTGATGGGGCTGCCTTGTTGTACAAAAACAAGATATACAAACTCGGAGTAACTCCGACTGATTTCCAGCTGCGTGACATAGTCTCATGGCTCTCAGAGTACCATATGGATTCCACGGGATTGAGTACAGATAGCTTGTATGATGCTGGATACCCGGCGGCTCTTGCTCTTGGTGATGTCGTATGTGGGATGGCAGCTGTAAGGATAACTTCCAATGACACGCTTTTCTGGTTTAGGTCTCACACTGCTGCTGAAATTCGATGGGGCGGTGCAAAACATGAACCAGATGAGAAGGATGATGCTAGAAAGATGCACCCAAGATCGTCGTTTAAAGCTTTTCTTGTTGTGGTTAAAACGAGAAGTTTGCCTTGGAAGGACTACGAGATGGATGCAATTCACTCCTTGCAGCTGATCTTGAGGAATGCTTATAAAGATAGTGAAGTGATGGATTCAAACACAAATGCCATCCAGACAAAGCTCCACGACATAAAAATTGAAGGGATGCAGGAACTGGAAGCAGTGACTAGTGAGATGGTCCGTCTGATTGAAACAGCTACGGTTCCAATCTTGGCTGTTGATGTAGATGGGCTGGTTAATGGATGGAATATGAAAATTGCTGAGTTAACTGGTCTTTCTGTTGATAAAGCAATTGGGAGGAATTTGCTCTCACTTGTGGAAGATTCTTCAACTGATATTGTGAAGAAGATGTTGTCCTCGGCATTGCAAGGTATGTTCTTCTTGAATTGTTAATTCAAGTTGTCTGTGGGTTAACCTTTTGCATTAGTCATATTATGTGCATTGAAGATCTGAGTGAGTATAGTCTGAACTTCCATGTAAATTCATCATGTTGGAAAAGAAGAATGACAAAGCTTAAAATTACACTACCAGCTAAGAAGCACAAACATGACACTCACTGACATACCGAATTTGCTCTCACTTGTGGAAGATTCTTCAACTGATATTGTGAAGAAGATGCTGTCCTCGGCATTGCAAGGTATGTTCTTCTTGAATTGTTAATTCAAGTTGTCTGTGGGTTAACCTTTTGCATTATAAGATGCTGTCCTCGGCATTGCAAGGTATGTTCTTCTTGAATTGTTAATTCAAGTTGTCTGTGGGTTAACCTTTTGCATTAGTCATATTATATGCATTGAAGATCTGAGTGAGTATAGTCTGAACTTCCATGTAAATTCATCATGTTGGAAAAGAAGAATGACAAAGCTTAAAATTACACTACCAGCTAAGAAGCACAAACATGACACTCACTGACATACCGACATGGAAATTTTCACAAAATATGTCAAATATTTGAATATTTAAGTAGAGATAATGGGTTCGTTTGGTTTGTATTTCTGAAAAATTTTTGGGAAATTTTCTCTACAAATAAGTTTTTAAAAGTAATCAAACCAAACAAATTTTTCCAAAAAAATTTCTCAAAACTTGTAAACCAAACAAATTTTCCAAACAAATCTCTCTCTCACACACATCAAATCAATCACTTTTTCCAAAACTCTCTTTCAAAATAATTTTCCAAAACATCTTTTGAAAAAAATCAAACCAAACAACTTTTCGTATTTTTTATCTCTAAAACACATCTCTCAAACACAAACCAAACATACCCAATAATTTTTTAAGTCTAGAGGAAAATATGTATAAATTTGTAATTTTTTTTTTTGGGTTTTATCATTGGATTCCAAGTTATTTTATTCAAACTTTTAATATGTTTCATGTGTGTCTAAATGTTAGAAAGTGTCCAATGAGTGTCGTGTCAAGTCGGTGTCGGACACAACATGTTATTTTCTTAGAAGTGTCTGTGCTTCTTAGATAACCAGCTAATTAAAACTAAGGTTCAAAATTTTTCATGTATTGGTTAGGCTTCAAAGAAAGGATATACAATTTATATATGTATTTATGTACACAGATTTAATTTTCTTCTTATATCCTCTTCTTAGCAGGCAAAGAGGAGCAAAATATCCAATTTGAGATCAAAACACATGGGTCTAGGAGTGACTCGGGTCCCATCAGCTTAGTTGTGAATGCTTGCGCAAGCAGGGACCTTCGTGAGAATGTTGTGGGGGTCTGTTTTGTGGCACAAGATATTACTGACCAGAAAACAGTTATGGATAAGTTCACCAGAATCGAAGGTGATTATAAGGCTATTGTACAGAACCCAAACCCCTTAATCCCTCCAATATTTGGCACGGATGAATTTGGTTGGTGTTGTGAGTGGAACCCAGCTATGGCAAAGATATCCGGGTGGGAAAGAGAAGAGATTATTAATAAAATGCTCTTGGGTGAGGTTTTCGGTACCCACATGGCGTGTTGTCGTCTCAAGAATCAGGAAGCTTTCATAAACCTCGGTGTTGTACTAAATAATGCCATGGCTGGCCACGAATCAGAAAAGATTTCTTTTGGTTTCTTTGCACGAAGTGGGAAGTATGTAGAGTGTCTCCTGTGTGTGAGCAAGAAATTGGATAGTGACGGTTCGGTCACTGGGATCTTTTGCTTCTTGCAGCTAGCAAGTCAAGAGTTGCAACAAGCGCTTCATATTCAGCGGTTAACCGAGCAAACTGCGTTGAAGAGATTAAAAGCATTAGCTTATATTAGAAGGCAGATCAGGACTTCCCTTGCTGGGATTATATTTTCTCGGAAGATGATGGAAGGAACAGATTTGAGTGAAGAACATAAACGGCTTCTTAATACTAGTGCCCAATGCCAGAGTCAGATGAATAAAGTTCTTGATGACACTGATCTTGATTGCATCATTGATGGGTATGATATTCTCTATATTCAGTCATTATCCTTTTCATTTGTTTTAAACAATTTTATTTTTATGCATTCCCGATATAATTAACTTGATTTGGAAGCATAGCAGCTATTTGCTTGAGCCATTATCCTCAATCGCATTAGGTTATAGTAATTCTTAGCTCCCATGTTTAATTTGTTTTAAACAAGTTTATTTTGTGCTTTGCCGACATAAATTTGATTGGAAGCACAGCAGCTCTTTGCTCTAGACTTGATCCTCAATTAGATGTAGCTTTATATGGGCTTCCACGTAGGGAACCAGACAACAACCAGCTTAATTTCTTGCGGAGGTTAATAGATTAAATATGGATCCAAAATTCAAAGCATGTGTCATGACTTTAAGGAGCTATAATCGTTTTTCTTCCATGTTTGGTTAAGCTGGGGACTAAATTAGGTGTACTTTTTTAATATTTACGAGTAGATCCTTTAATGGAAGAATGAGAACTTCTATATTTTTCCCCTTTATTCCACTTGTGTATGATGCATATAGTTGTATGTACCTAACCAACGTATCATCTCTCTCATGTGATAGTATTTGAGTCCTACGGATGAGATGTTATTGATCAAGCTGTTTCTGCTGATTATCCTATCACTTATGTGGAACAAGTGAGCTTACACATCATCTTGCTGGTTTTAAACTATGCTTGAGAAAGAAAAAAAAAAACTAGGAGTGGTGTACGATCCAAATTAAGTATCATTTGGTATCTATGCATGCATAAAATGAGAGAGAGAGAAGATAAAGAAGATCAAGAAGTGGAACAATTCTGTTGATTTTCTGACATTTTTTTTGCTCTGATCTTTTCTAACCGTAGCTTTTCTGTCCCAACTATTGACAGGTATTTGGATCTTGAAATGGTTGAGTTTACGCTGAATGAAGTATTGGTTGCTGCCATTAGTCAAATAATGATGAAAAGCAACGGAAAGGGTATTCGGATAGTTAATGATTTGGCGGAAGAGATCATGTCCGAAACCTTGTATGGAGATAGTATGAGGCTTCAACAAGTCCTAGCTGATTTCTTGTCAATATCAGTGAATTTTATGCCAAATGGCGGCCAGCTTGGTGTTACTGCAAGTTTGACCAAAGATCGTTTAGGAGAATCTGTTCAGCTCGTGCATTTGGAATTCAGGTATGTTAACAATCTGAAGTTGAAGTTTTTAAGAAAATGTTAAATTTCAAATCATAGGACCAAAAGTACAGGCAAATTGAGGTGAAAGAGGTCAATAGAATGTTGATGTCTTTCAGTTAGTTAATATTAATTACAAAGGTCGAAATGTACTTCAAGCATGGGCTTTCATAACACTATATAGATTGATATTTGGCATGGTGCTCTAGAATGTGTTTCAAACCATGGAAAAGTGTGTATGCTACTCGAACTGAAAGGTTCTGCTGTCTGCAGTTGTGTGCTGTTTGCACAATTGTATTAGATTGATATTTCAACATGCTATGCGGAGAAAAGGTAGTTACGTAATTTTTTTTCCTTTAGAAATGAAAAATCTAAATAACCTCGAGTTATTAATTTGTGATTATGTTTCAATTTAAAACTGCGAATATCAATCCCAATAAAAAAATCAATGATAAATCGGTATAGCGATTTAATGTGGAAAAAATCACAATTGGAACATCTCCAATTGTGATAAAAAATTACGGGTCAAAGTCACAAAATAATCCACTAAGAAGACATAAATGAATTACATATGAGTACTTTCAATTACCTAACGAATTCACGCCCGAACTGAACCTAACCTGATGTGCCTCTTCCAACTTCGTTTTCACCATGGAATTGCTTTGCCCAATGTTGAATCCAAAACGCTGATGTCGAATCCACAATGATGAGCCACTTTAGAATCCACCAAAGTTTTAAGCCCAAGTTTTCCGGAATCCACCGAAGAACACCTCTCTCTTTATGTGAATAAACAAACAAAACTACCCTTGATATTTGACACTCTGTTATTCGTTGATCAATCAATTATCTTCTATACATCAAGGAAACTCGTATAAAAACACTCTCCAATATAGAACACTTTGTATTTTTCTCCTCTTTGAAAATCTGGACGGGTTAAATTTTAAAAACAACGAATGGTGCACTTTATAGAAAATAGGGCCGCGAAGATCGCTAAAGCGCACATTTCACCGCTCGAGCAGTGTAAATAAAGGCGGTGCAAAATATATAGGCCAATCGCTCGAGCTCAATATCCACTGCTTGAGCAGCAAAACACGTTTTCCAAAAGTTCTGAATGTAGGTTGAAATACTGGAAGTTCCACTTCACCGCTTGACCGCATAAATGACTGGTTGAACGGTCAAACCATAGTCAACGAAGTGACAAAAAAGGAATGCTCAAAATATGGAATGTCAGCACAAACTTCTCTACACAAGTACAATTCGGGTTAGATTCGCATCTAAACACTCACACCTTCACTGAAACAAAAGAGTGAACAGAATCACAGTTAAAAGGAATTTTGTTAAACGGGATTGCCAATTACAAAAGCCTAACAAGAAATGCAAGAGTAAACTTGGGGCTCTTACAAATTCAATCCAAATGGTTCATACTAACCGTTTCCTTGTTCCTTGGGCAAGGGCCTGGCTGATTTTCCTGTAACAAAAATTGTAGACCTACAATAAGAAATTCACACAAAACTAAAGAAGAAAAACAAGGAATAATAATTAATAATTGAACAAATAAATTGATGAAATTGGTATTTTGGGATTGCTTGTATAGATTGATTTTTTAAATCTAAATTCTTGAATTCAGGATAACTCATGCGGGAGGTGGCGTGCCGGAAGGGTTGTTGAGCCAAATGTTTGGAGGTGACATGGACACGTCTGAGGAGGGTATTAGCCTTCTCGTCAGCAGAAAATTGGTGAAGCTCATGAATGGAGACGTGCAGTATCTGAGGGAAGCTGGGAAGTCAACTTTTATCATATCTGTTGAGCTCGCTGCAGGCAGTAAGCCTCGGGGGTGAATGATTTTGGGAACATGACTCTCAATCTTTTATGTAGTACTGTATTTTGCATCTCTCTCTTCTTCTTGACTTCATCATTTGTGTTTTCTGTTTTAACTTGTAAATATGTAATTTTATCCATCTTTGATAGGCTTGGCCGGGACGAATTTCAGATTCACATTTTATGTTATGAAACAATTTCATTCGATTTCCACATTACATTCTTCTTGTTTGAGCAGCTAATCGTTTGCGGATTTATGGTTCGAGCCACTAATTGGAGTGTCCATTTGAAGTTCTGGTGAAAACCAACATAATTGGTTGGTTGTTTTTTGAGTTTTTGAAAATTGTTTTGGCACTAATGCGAAAATTATGGGTATTCTAAAACTGTTTGATATTAAAAAAATGATGAGTTATGCTAAAAAAATAAAATAAAAAATGATGAGTATCTATTAACTTTTTCTTCTTTTATTTTAAAAGAATGAACATAAATTTGTGTTTTTGTTTTCTTGATTTGGTTTTGATTTTTAATTTTTTTTTTGTATGTTTGAAAATAAAATAATGAAAAATATGAAAACAACATCCCTGTCCAGTGCTATGAAGAAAGCCCAATGTGGTAAAATAAAATAAATCTGATTTAGAGGACTTATAATTCAATAAAATTCACAAAGTATTGTGTTTCCCTTAATTTCATGCATTTGAATTTATATTCTAATAGGCCATTTTTCTATATTAGAAGTATTATGTGGATTATTTGATCTTTATAAATTATTATTATAGGGAAATTTTACTATACACAACCCCTACCATATGCATTTCTAAGTTATAACATTTTCTTCTTTAGTTAGGATTAATTTTCTTCTTTAGTTATGACCTTATTTTAATTATAACTAATGAGATCTTTGGTTATGTCTCATGTGTTGTTTGGTTATGATTTTTAATTTTTTTTTTATTTATGACTCAAAAGTATGAAATTATGTCATTTTCTTCTTTAGTTATAAGGTGTATACATAGTCTTTTCCATATATATATATATATATATATATGTATGATACTATATATCTAGGAGAGAATTATTATTTGATATATTTTATTTATGATATATATAAAATATTTTATATAAATATAAAATATTATTATTTTTAGCATTTTCTTTGCCTCAATGATAGGGATACCATTATTTTATAATCAGGTTATGTCATGGAAGAACATTTGGAAAAGAAGGTTAGTTGTACATGTAATGATAGAAATGGTGGTAAACTGACAACAAACAATTAATTTTTTGTCATTATTATACATAAACTGTAATCTTTTCATCAGTTTGTGTAGTAATTGATATTGTGTAATTTATTCACTGGTGTTATACCGAAGTTGATTATATACAAATTTTTCTAAAAAGGTGCGTAAATAAATATGAACTATTTGATGATTTTTTATATATTGTTTGATGATTTGTTGTATATTGTTTGTTGCTATACTTGTTGGTTGGGCAATTATTTTTATTGTTATTGAATAATCGAAATAGTCAATTTTTACTTCTTTTTATTTTTTATTTTTAATTTTGTTTCGTGTTTTTATGTTGCAATGTGAATGTTCACATTGGTATGAGTTAAGTGTTTTTTAAGATTACTTATATGTTAATTGTAAACTATGAACATTCGTATTGTATTTTGGTATAAATCTTATTTTTAGAAGGTTAGTTATATGTTTGTTATTTTTGTTACTGTACTTATTAATTGAAGAATCATTTTTGTTGCCATTTGACTAATCGAAATAGTCGATTTTCACTTTTGTTTTATACTTTCACGTTGTAGTGTAATTATTTACATTGGTATGAGTTTAGTTTTTTAAGGGTAGTTGTATGTTAATTATTAACTGTGAATATTTACATTGCATTTTGATATGATTTTATGTTTTTGAAAGTGGTGGTGCTACATGTACCAATTAGTGTACTAACTAGTGTACCAACACTAATTATGATATTATTATTGACTCCACTCATTAATCACATTACAAATCTCAAAAACCTATTAAATTATGCCACATCATCAATTGGTATACTAGTTGGTACACTAATTAGTGCATATAACATTATTCTTATGCAGTAAAGTTAGTTGTATATTTGTTATTTATTGTGAACATTTATATTATACTTTGGTATATCTCTTATTTATTAGTAGTTATACTGGCACAAATAACAATGTGTTGTTTTGATCACAAACATAGTGTATACATATAGATATAAATGTTTACATTAATTATGTAATACACATAGGTCGTCGCATCCAATGTTAATGATGACACACTCATATAACATTGAGTGTGTGTATGGTTTCATAAGAAGGCGTTATTTATCCGCATATATTTGTAATGTGAAAATTCATATCAACAATTAGTGAGAGATTTTTAGAAGGTAGACAATTTAGGATTTTGATAATGTGAGATTTTTTCTATGGAATAAGGGAGATATTTTTTCCTTAGAATGAGAGATATTTTCTCTATGAAATAAAGGAAAGATTTTCTCCCTAGAATGAGCAAAGATTTTTATTATAAAACAAGAGAGATGTTTTCTCAATAAAATAAGAAAGTGTTGTTATTTTTTACTATGTATTAATTTCAAAATAGAAACAAGTGCATAAAATTGGATGGGTGGTTTGGTCATATTACACCAAATAAAAGTTAATGAAATATTCAAAAAAAAATATGAATTAGATGAAATATAAATTTTAAGAATGAGATTTACTAAAAAACCTCTCAATAATAAATAAATAAAAGATGTATGCTTTCTATATTTATTAGATTTTTCATAAATTGTCAACTGTTTTTTTAAGTTTTTAATGATAATACACACACACACATATATATATATATATATATAATAAAATATGAGAATTATTAATCTCATTAGTAAAATTTGGTTTGATAATTGATAATTTACTTAACTAATAGAATATGATTGACATTAAAGTGTAAGAGGATTATATAATTCATAAAATATTAGGGAATAATTCAGAACCAGTAAGTTAAATTACGAATAAGTTAGTCAATACAAATTATTACATAGTTTCAAAATGTCACATGATTATATGTATGTCTAATAATATTTTATAATTTATTTATTATATTTTTATTTTTTGAATCATATAGGCATTTGTGCTACTATTAGACATGCATAAAAGTCAATACTGTATCAGAATAAAAGATAACTATTTCCATAATTAAGGATTTGGTAATTGCACAAGTTGCAACATTGGGTTAATACTTAAATCAATGATATATTGGGTCCTCCGAAAGTGATACAATTGTGTAATGATTAAGCCAATGAAGAGTGCCTGTTGTTATCCTTACCTATAAAGTAAGGCCAGTTATATTCAACTGGCTGGTAGGCCGAGTGTTTTAAGGTTCACCTCCTGATGGTGCACCCTTTGGAAGTGGGACCCTCTAGCCATTTTTATGATCATAATTTAACCAATCAAAAGTAACATACCTCCAAATTTTGAACCAGCCAAAAGTAGCATACAATCCAATTTATCTGCTAAGCAATTTGAGAACTGAGATGGTTAGAATAATTTTTTTGTGTAAAATAAAAAAAAATTGAAATCAAATTAAATAAATGAAATAAATAATTTACAAAATTTATTTTATCAAACTGAATGAATATTTAAAAGATCAAGTTGAGTATGTGACACTTTATTCTTAAGACAGATTTGTCCCGCTACGGTGCTTACGGACAAATGACGTTTATCTCCCAAAATACAATGATCTTCACAAATTGTAGTAGCACTCAAAATAATTTGTTCTGCGAACAAAACCTGTGTTCTAAACTCTTTGAATTTTTCCCTAAAATAATATGAAGAATAATTGGTGCAAGAGAGCAAAATAAAGGCAACAAAAAATGAATTTTCGGAATTATTTTTGGATCTCCAAACTGCTGAAAAGTGCTGGTATTTATAGGCAAATTTGGTGACTGTTTGAACAGCCCGAATAGGTGCAAAATGAAGTCAACATGTGCAAAATTCAAAAGAACAGATCTGGTATATATAGACCCGAATATGTGTTATTTTCAAACCGGAAGAGATTGGTTTTGAAACCAATAGGTGCACTATTGTTTGAACAGATAACTGTTGGGCAATTTATATATGTTTGAAACTGCAACAGTTAAAAACCTGTCCAGAAAATCCGAGTAGGTATGAAATCTTCCTAACAGATACAAATTTGAAACTGAACGGATATGCAACTGCTTTGAATAGATGCAGTTCAAAAAACTGGACAGATCTGCTGTAACTGCTGGACAGATTTGAATCTGTCAGAGCAGTTTTATAACTGTTCAACATTTGGGAAATTAGTGGAATTCGGATCTGAAAAGAGGCACAAATTTTGGAAAAAAATTTGAATTCAAATTCAAATTAAAATTACATTAGTGCAAAATTTAAATTTATTTTTTTCCCGCAAGAAATTTGAAAAAAATTCAAATAAATTTTGTCTAAAAAATTAATATTAAAACCAAACTGACCTACACCCGCGCTCGGACGACGGCGCGCATGTGGTGGTTTGGGCTAAGGTTCACTTTGTCCATAACTCTTCCCTTCTACAAACTTGGGGTGTCCCTTGGGGCCTAACCCAAGTGTTGCCACTTAGAACTTATATACACATATAAGTTTTCTTAAGTTTCCAATGTGGGACAAGCCTTATAAGGAAACTCATATTTAATTCTTGAATTTCCTATTCCACAAATCCGAAAACGACGTCAACTTCCCATTCACTCATAAATGGTTTTGACGAACCGTTTTCACCGTGTGACTTACCATGCAATAAGGAACACGTCACCTTTTTAGACCCACCCCAAAAGACGTGTGGTACCCTCTCTATTTTGGGCTCAAAGTTAGTAAAAAATAAGCCTATAAAAACCAATTTTCCAACAGAGATTCCATTTCAAAATTACCAAATTAAGATATATACAAAATTTCCTTTTGAAGGAAAATAGTATTTTGGCAAAAACAATTCAAAATAATTGTACTTTTATAGAAATGTAAGTGAAAATTGTATTTTATGTCAAAATTCACTTACATTCTTACAAAAGTTATAATCATTTTAAATTGTTCTTATTAAAAAATAAATTTTCTTTTCTTTAATATTTTAATAAATAAGATCTCATTTCCCAAAGAGAAATGACCAAGAGATTGATCTAATAAATAAAATGCTGCAGAATCGAGTTTTATTACTCTAAATGCAACTTCTATTTTGTAATTTCCTTTCTACCCATTGCAAAAGAGGTCAATAGAATGCTGATGTCTTTCAGTTCGTAAATATTAGTTACAAAGGTCGAAATGTACTTCAAGCATGGGCTTGCATAACACTATATAGATTGATATTTGGCATAGTGCTCTAGAATGTGTTTCAAACCATGTAAAAGTGTGTATGCTACTTGAACTGAACGGTTCTGCTGTCTGTAGTTGTGTACTGTTTGCACAATTGTATTGGATTGATATTTCAACATGCTATGAGGAGAAAAGGTAGTTACATAATTTTGTTCCCTTTAGAAATGAAAAATCTAAATAATCTTGAGATATTAATTCGTGATTATGTTTCAATTTAAAACTGTGAATATTAATTTCAATCAAACAATCAAGATAAATTGTCACATTGATTTAATATGGAAAAAATCACAATTGGAACACCTCCAATTATGATAAAAAATCACACGCCAAAGTCACAAAATAATCCACTAAGAGGCAAAAATGAATTACATATGAGTACCCTCAATTATGTAGCAAATCCGCGCCTGCATTGAACCAAATCCAATTTGCCTCTTCCAACAACGTCTTCACTGCAGAACTGATTTTCCCAACATTCAATCCAAAAATGCCAATGCCGAATTCACGACAATGAGCCACTCTAGAATTCACCAAAGTTTCCGGTCCAAGTTTCACGGAATTCACCAAAGAACACTTCTCTCTTTATGTGAATAAACAAACAAAAATAACTCTTGATGTTTGACACTTTGTTGTTCGTTGATCAATTGATCACCTTCTAGACATTAAAGAAACTCAAATAAAAACACCCTTCAATGTAGAACACTTTGTATTTTTCTCCTCTCTCTAAAAATCGCGAATGACGCACTTTATAGAAACTAAGGCCATGAAGATCGCTCGAGCGCACACTTCATCGCTCAAGCAGTGTGAGTAAAGGCGGTGAAAAATATATAGGCCAACCGCTCAAGTACAATATCCACTGCTTGAACGGTAAAACACGTTTCCAGAAGTCCAGAATGCAGGTTGAATTACTGAAAGTTCCACTTCATTGCTCGACCGCACAAATGACCGGTCGAGCAGTTAAACCATAGTCAGCGAAGTGGCAAACAAAGAATGCTCAATATATGGAATGTCAACACAAACTTTTCTACACAAGCACAATTCTAATTGAATTCAAATCTAAACATTCACAGCCTCACTGAAACAAAAGAGTGAACAAAATTATAACTGAAAGGAATTTTGTCAAATAGAATTGACAATTACAAAAATCTAACAAGAAATGCCAGAGTGAACTCGGTGCCATTATAAATTCAATTCAAATGGTTCATACTAGCCATTTGCTTGTTCCTTGGCAAGGGCTTGCCTGATTTTCCTGGAACAAAAATTGTAGACTTACTATGTTGTAATTGTATTAAGAAATTCACACAAAACTAAAGAAGAAAAATGAGAAATAATAATTAATAATTGAATAAATAAATTGGTGAAATTGGTATTTGTTGGACAATCTTCACTGTATTCCGAATAAATTAAGTTTGTGTACTTAACAACAAACAAAAGAAATAAACGAAAGGAGGGAGAATGTTTGATTACAAAAATCAAACTAGAAAATAAAATAAATAAATAAATAAAATTATTTTGTTACAAAAACAAAATCAAAATCTGATCTAAATAAATAATAAACCAGAAAATAAATTAACAACTTACTTGATTAATATCTTAAGTAAATTTTTTATCAAGTCCAGTGTTTAACACTATGTCCTTAAGGCAGATGCGTCCTCTCCGCGGTGCTTTTAGATTTGAGGACATCTATCTCCCAGGATAAAATGATCAACAACGAATAATTGTAGCACTACAAATTATTCGCATAACGAACACACTTTGTGTATATATTTTTTCTCACCGAAAATTAATGCAGCAAAATGTAGAGATTAAAGGCAGCAAAGAAGAACGAAAATTGAAGTGAGAAAACAAATGAGGGACTTGTCTTATTTATAGATGATTGGTGGCTGTTTGGTTTAAATTTAACAGGTACAAAACCTGTTTGAACAGGTATTGAATCTGTTCGGGACAAATTAAACAGTTAAGGCACTGTTTGGTTTGAAATTCAAACAAATATTGAATCTATTCGATTTTAATTCAAACAGATTGGAACTTGTTGGGTTTAAATTTAAACAGAAATTGAATTTGTTTGGGTGGGAAAAGCTAGACAGATTTTATTTCAAAAACAAAATTAATTTCAAATGTTTTTGGCCCAAAAAATAATTAGTATTGGGACCATACACTTGTGCCTAGGCCCAGCCCGCCCGACCGGACGGACGGTGGCAGCGTGCGCGTGTTTATTTTTGGGTCTAATGGGTCTTTACCCATAACTTCTCCCTTCTACAAACTTGGGGTGCCCCTTGGGGCCCTCCCCAAGTTATAATCCCATGTCTTATAAACTCACTCAAAATTTGTCCACCAAATCAATGTAGGACAAGCCTTAAACCAAACCTTTAGGAAATTTCACCAAAAACACAATTTCCATGGAGCGCTCTTTGGCTTCAATTTCTCATTCACCCGATAATGGTTTTGAGTAACCAAATATACCACGTGAATCACAACACGACATAGAACGCGTTATCAGTTAGACCCGTGAAATTTGACGCATGGGTCCCACTTAAAAATTAGACCAAAATTGAGGAAAAATTATATTTTTTCCAAAACTTTCAAAATCATTTCTAACAATCTCCTACATGAATGGAATTTGATGACAACGGAAATGTAACAATATGCAGAATTTTTCGAAAGAGTATAAATCGAAAATATCTTGTATCAGGATGAGATTGCTGCTGAAAATGACCTTGAACCCATGGTGTGATTATAGGGTAACTTTTTCCTGTTGGCTATATTTCTTGTTGACCGTTTCTACAATGCAATAGAAATATTAACTTAAAAATCAATATCCAAGCATGGTTCCTATATCTTTCCCTCCATCTCTGCAATTTCCTTACTCTGTCTCATATATAATTGTATATTATTTGAATTTCAAAGAAACTTGGGACCTTTGACTTATTCATTGTAGTGCAATTAAAAGAAACATCCATGACTGTTAAGTTAATTACCTTGTGTGTGTCACCAAGAAACACTTCATCAATCATGTATCTCCAATCTTCTTCGCTCACCCCAACAAATGGTTTACTATAAGGATCTGTACCTTCTTTCAGCAACTCTTTGTAATGTTCATGCATATGATATCGCCAGCCTTTGAACAAATGTGTGGCCTTTGTGTCAATGATTTCTTGTGGAAGTGGACTCTCATCATATCCTTCAATCTCAAACTTATCCTGTCCCAATTAAACATAAAATGAAAATTAAACATCTTATATATTAATTACTTCAATCTCAACAACTATAAAAATTAAATTACCCGCAAGGATTGTACAATAGCTGCTCGAATGACTGGTGGAACGTCCTCCCAATTTTTTGTTCCTTGCAATGGGGCTTGCAATCGAATTTGTGCCCCCAATTCGTTAGCGGCCTTGGTGGCATTAAGCCCCACAAATGTCCTCCTCTCAATAGAAACTCCAACAAAAAGCTTCTTCCCACTATGTTGGCTGATGAGTCTACTACTGTTCTTACCCCTAGTTGGTCCTCGTACTCGCTTTACAGATGGACCTATATTATAAACACAAAATGAAACACTATTATAGGCTGCTGCTAAATAGGTTGCTGTTGCTGTACATCAGATGAAATATATTAGAGAAATTTTCACACAGTTGGGTCAATTGTATTTGCACACAAATAATTGAGTGGCAACATTCCTCCTAGTTTGGGAAATTGTCGACTAAAGACTTGGAACATTATGGTTCTGTCTATAAAGGGGTTTTGGGCAGCGATGGATTGACTGTGGCTGTGAAGGTGCTCAACCTTACAGAGAAAGGAGCTGCCAAGAGTTTTGTGGAAGAATGCAATGCTTTGAGAGGTATCCGACATCGGAACCTCATCAAGATAATCACTACTTGCTCGAGCATCGATTCCAAAGGCGATGATTTCAAGGCGATAGTTTTCGAGTTATAGTTTATGGCATGTGGGAAGCAATGCTTTAAACATTTTGTTCGATGATTTGTTGGGCAAATTCCTATAGCTTTCTTTTTGTCATTCATGTTTGTGTCGTAGCACTAGTCTTTAAAATTTATCTATGTTACAGTTATCCTCCATGACATTAAATTTTCCATCGTGGTTACAGTCGATGTCAAGTATATTTGTTCTAGTCCTCATATGGGGGACTGTTGGATTTAAGTTTTATCGGTTGTACCACCTAATCAAGGAGGTTAATTTTTATAGCAACAGATAATAGTGGACGTTTTTGTGCGGCCTTACTGGCTAGGTTAGAATATGATCATTTGGATTTATGGACTTGAAATGAAAGAATTTGGATACTAATCAATAAAGGATAATAGCTCAAAGTTAGATATGATAGTTTAGATATAAATTTCCGGATTGTGTTCAAGAGCTTTTCCGTAATGGATGATGATGGATTTGGAATGACAATGTAAAAGCAGTTATCTGAAATCTTATCTGAAATCCTTCATATTAAGTGTTATAGTTGTACAAGGATTATAATAAAACACTACTACTTTACTCTGTCTTCCCCTTTTGGTTTCTTGATCTATCTATAATAGCCAACTCATTCACCCTCACTGTTTTTGAACATAACTGTTGAAAGTAATTTCCCAACTCAAACAATGCAATAGAAATGTCCTTGTTAAGATACCCACGCATTCCAATAGGAAGAAGTCGTTGTATAAGGACATGGCAATCATGGCTTTTGATTATAATAAAACACTACTACTTTACTCTGTCTTCCCTTTTGGTTTCTTGATCTATCTATAATAGCCAACTCCCATATGATTTAAACAATTTAATCTCAATCTCTTCATTTGAAATCAATATATCCAAACGGAACCTAAATATGTTCAATTTTGATTCCAGGGATTTTTCTTTTTAAGAAACCACCTTCATATTGGTTTTGAATCTGTTTAGTTTCACCTGATATGAGGGATGTATGATGGTTTTCTATTAAACACACTGAATTGGTGTGGTGAGAGGAAAAATTGATTATTGATGGGGAAGGACACTGAAAAATCCTAATTGGGAGAAAAAGAAACCCAATAGAAGAATGGAATTGTAGGAGGGAACTATTCTTTATGAGCTTAATAGTAGCTGATTTTTCTCTGTTGCCTGAGATATTTTTTTTTCTTCTTGATTTCCCACAGGGTCATGATATTCTCATGGCTACAATGCTTAATGGGGCAGCAATTATGGATGGAGCATTACTTCTCATTGCTGCCAATGAAAGTTGCCCCCAACCACAAACATCAGAGCACTTGGCTGCTGTCAATCAACAGTTCCAAGATTCAACTCAAATCATTGCCAGGCCTTGTAACATTCGCACACACTAGATAGAAGGTATGTAAAACCCTTTATGATAGAAGTTACCCAAAACAATACATGAAATTATGTAGGAAAATTAAAGACGAGAGAGGAAAAGAACTGTGCGTTTCCTGGTGTGGAAAACGTGAGAGAGATCTCATTGGCTTATATAGACAATCAAATATCTATTCATGAAAAAACACACCTCTTGGTTAAGGTATGTTTCTCATTAGATAAACTCTTGGCCAAAGAACTGATACCCAATAACGGTTAAGAAAACAAATAATAAATAAAAAAATAAAAACAAAAACAATTTAAAAATTGTAGCCACGCTACAATGCGGGACAAGCACATATACTAAAAATACACAACTTATAAGTGGAAGTTTTGAAACTTTCTATTCACGTTCCAACAGGGCCAACAATCAACAAGGCGTAATGAATTGACATTGCTAGATCAAGCTCATATTTATATGATGACATGCAAGAGAAACAATTTACTCCAAATTGATGTGCGATATGTGAATCATACAAAGATCTGTGAATCCAGAAAACACATGTGAATGAAGCATATGAAGTCTCCTTTTCACTACATCTGAAACAGTAGAGAATGCATCATGTAATCTGGTGCAAGTAAAGCTTGTAGGTTTGTGTGGTAAAGGCATGCTTATGCTCAAAACTTCCAACTACAAAGTGCAAACACAGACCACAAGAAAGGAAAATAGTAAAGGGGAAAAAAACTATGTTTACCATTACAACATTTCTTTCTTAATTTTACAGATAAGAAAGGCTGCAAACTTCTCTGGACATAGTCAGCACTTAGATTACGGTGAGACCTTCCTTTAATCTGGACGCGTCTTCACTGCAGAACTGATTTTCCCAACATTCAATCCACAAATGCCAATGCCGAATTCACGACAATGAGCCACTCTAGAATTCACCAAAGTTTCCGGTCCAAGTTTCACGGAATTCACCGAAGAACACTTCTCTCTTTACGTGAATAAACAAACAAAAATAACTCTTGATGTTTGACACTTTGTTGTTCGTTGATCAATTGATCACCTTCTATACATTAAAGAAACTCAAATAAAAACACCCTTCAATATAGAACACTTTGTATTTTTCTCCTCTCTCTAAAAATCGCGAATGACGCACTTTATAGAAACTAAGGCCATGAAGATCGCTCGAGCGCACACTTCATCGCTCAAGCAGTGTGAGTACAGGAGGTGAAAAATATATAGGCCAACCGCTCAAGTACAATATCCACTGCTTGAACGGTAAAACACGTTTCCAGAAGTCCAGAATGCAGGTTGAATTACTGAAAGTTCCACTTCATTGCTCGACCGCACAAATGACCGGTCGAGCAGTCAAACCATAGTCAGCGAAGTGGCAAACAAAGAATGCTCAATATATGGAATGTCAACACAAACTTTTCTACACAAGCACAATTCTAATTGAATTCAAATCTAAACATTCACAGCCTCACTGAAACAAAAGAGTGAACAAAATTATAACTGAAAGGAATTTTGTCAAATAGAATTGACAATTACAAAAATCTAACAAGAAATGCCAGAGTGAACTCGGTGCCATTATAAATTCAATTCAAATGGTTCATACTAGCCATTTGCTTGTTCCTTGGCAAGGGCTTGCCTGATTTTCCTGGAACAAAAATTGTAGACTTACTATGTTGTAATTGTATTAAGAAATTCACACAAAACTAAAGAAGAAAAATGGGAAATAATAATTAATAATTGAATAAATAAATTGGTGAAATTGGTATTTGTTGGACAATCTTCACTATATTCCGAATAAATTAAGTTTGTATACTTAACAACAAACAAAAGAAATAAATGAAAGGAGGGAGAATGTTTGATTACAAAAATCAAACTAGAAAATAAAATAAATAAATAAATAAAAAATTATTTTGTTACAAAAACAAAATCAAAATCTGATCTAAATAAATAATAAACCAGAAAATAAATTAACAACTTACTTGATTAATATCTTGAGTAAATTTTTTATCAAGTCCAGTGTTTAACACTGTGTCCTTAAGGCAGATGCGTCATCTCCGCGGTGCTTTTAGATTTGCGGACGTCTATCTCCCAGGATAAAATGATCAACAACGAATAATTGTAGCACTTCAAATTATTCGCATAACGAACACACTTTGTGTATATATTTTTTCTCACCGAAAATTAATGCAGCAAAATGTAGAGATTAAAGGCAACAAAGAAGAACGAAAATTGAAGTGAGAAAACAAATGAGGGACTTGTCTTATTTATAGATGATTGGTGGCTGTTTGGTTTAAATTTAACAGGTACAAAACCTGTTTGAACAGGTATTGAATCTGTTCGGGACAAATTAAACAGTTAAGGCACTGTTTGGTTTGAAATTCAAACAAATATTGAATCTATTCGATTTTAATTCAAACAGATTGGAACTTGTTGGGTTTAAATTTAAACAGAAATTGAATTTGTTTGGGTGGGAAAAGCTAGACAGATTTTATTTCAAAAACAAAATTAATTTCAAATGTTTTTGGCCCAAAAAATAATTAGTATTGGGACCATACACCTGCGCCCAGGCCCAGCCCGCCCCACCGGACGGACGGTGGCAGCGTGCGCGTGTTTATTTTTGGGTCTAATGGGTCTTTACCCATAACTTCTCCCTTCTACAAACTTGGGGTGCCCCTTGGGGCCCTCCCCAAGTTATAATCCCATGTCTTATAAACTCACTCAAAATTTCTCCACCAAATCAGTGTGGGACAAGCCTTAAACCAAACCTTTAGGAAATTTCACCAAAAACACAATTTTCATGGAGCGCTCTTTGGCTTCAATTTCCCATTCACCCGATAATGGTTTTGAGTAACCAAATATACCACGTGAATCACAACACGACATAGAACGCGTTATCAGTTAGACCCGCGAAATTTGACGCATGGGTCCCACTTAAAAATTAGACCAAAATGGAGGAAAAATTATGTTTTTTCCAAAACTTTCAAAATCATTTCTAACAATCTCCTACATGAATGGAATTTGATGACAACGGAAATGTAACAATATGCAGAATTTTTCGAAAGAGTATAAATCGAAAATATCTTGTATCAGGATAGATAGCTTTCGGCCTTGAACCTTCCCTAACCAATAGACGCGATGCCTTGAATTGTTTAGCCGTTTATGTAAGCCAAGACAATAGATTTCACACAAAATATCTTCTAACACATCGTGGTTCTCACGGTTGTGTTCATCCTAGCCTTGAACGCTCCTGGTTGTTCATGAGTATTTCTAGAGAATTTAGCTTCTTTATTCTCATAGAACTGGCCCCTGTTCGACACTCATATAGGTGATTCTTATTATGAGTATCTCTTACACTCGTCTTGATTTTATGCCTAAATCAAGATATAAGTAATCATTAAAAGCAAAGCTTATTTTTTAAACCCCTGCATACAACATATGTTACAGATATCACTCTCACCATAGGAATGGGTAAGGATTTTTTAAATCCCTTGGTGATTTATGGTGAGCCACACATAACTTAGTTCTTGGGATCTCTAGTCATTTAAGT